ATATTGTCGTTGCTGCCGTTGTTGTTGTTGATGATATTGTCGTTGCTGCCGTTGATGATATTGTCGTTGCTGCCGTTGTTGTTGTTGATGATATTGTCGTTGTTGTTGTTGTTGATGATATTGTCGTTGTTGTTGTTGTTGTTGATGATATTGTCGTTGTTGTTGTTGATGATATTGTCGTTGTTGTTGTTGATGATATTGTCGTTGTTGTTGTTGATGATATTGTCGTTGTTGTTGTCGTTGTTGTTGTTGATGATATTGTCGTCGTCGTCGTCGGACGTCGTCGGACGTCGTCGTCGTTGTTATCGTACGTTGTTGTTGTTATCGTACGTTGTTGTCGATGGCCTTGTTTATGTCGTCGTTCTTGTTGTTGTCGTTTCGTTGTTGCTATTGTTGTTGTTGTTGTTGTTGTTGTTGTTGTTGTTGTTGTTGTTGTTGTTGTTGTTGTTGTTGTTGTTGTTGTTGTTGTTGTTGTTGTTGTTGTTGTTGTTGTTGTTGTTGTTGTTGTTGTTGTTGTTGTTGTTGTTGTTGTTGTTGGTGTTGTTGTTCTTCTTGTTATAACCGGTTGTCTTTGTTTTTCGTTGCTGTTTATTGCGGTTGTCGTTCTCGACATATATATATTTATAGTCGTCGTCGCCTTGTCGGTGCTGTCTTTGTTCTTAAAAAACTCATTAATAATTCAGGAGCAAAACACGAAGAAAAATCATAAGCGTGTCGTGGTTTTATATGTGATAAAAAATCACGTTAATTTACATAAACTTTAGCTTTGATTTTCTCGGTTTAGACAAAGTTTATTTTAAAAGTTACTTCGCCAATGAACTCATATAAGATGAGTCGTTTTTTAAGCTATTTAAAGCACTTGTAGTCGTGTTTTATCACATATAAAACACTCCGCTACGCGTCGTGTTTTATATGTGATAAAACACTCCTACGCGTGCTTTAAATAGTACTTATTGTACTCATTGTTTTCTTGTCGTGATCGTCCATATGTGCAGTAAACCCTAAAATTTTTCGTGACAGTATTCAACTATTTTGCCTGACAACTGTTACTTATCTTTTAGGATTTTAGCTTCAAAATGCATTGCAATATTTTGGTAATTTTGTTTTCGTTGGTGCCTTTCGCGGTTGGTAAGTAAATTTTTTCTTATAAAGGATCAATTTATCATTGAACAGCTGAGTATGTATTAGACTTATTTAACCCACTGAGCTGTAATGCGCGGCCCAAATCCGCTGTACTGTGTTATTTTACTCTGTCTATCGCCAGACTATTTCACTTTGTCCAATGCCAAACATAGCATACTACTTTTACATGTACTGTTTGGGATGAAAAATTGAAAATGTTGGCAAAATAAGCCGTGGAACTATGCTCAAATTTTTCCTGCGACTAATGTGTAGATACACGGGTCTACTTACGTTGCATGTTGCAGGCAAAATTTCTCTTTACTCATCGAAAACTTTGGCAAATAAGTAATGGCTTCGTGTTTTCTGCGAGAAACTTTTTTCTTATCGACATTTTATTTAAAACGTAAGGAATCCGTATTTTTAATTTTTACCACTATGGGCTGTATATAGAAAGGCTTTTAGTAGCATAGAGTTTATTTGAAAATTATTTATTTTCAAGTTTATATAATATGATTATAGAGATTTATAGTAGAAGTATAACTATTGCACTTGTCTTTCCCACAGGCCAAGCCATCAATATTTGTCCGACAAGGGAGATCACAGCATCCAGTGGACAGATTAAATCGCCTAACTATCCAAACAAATATCCCTCGAACACTGATTGTACCCTGACGATCAAACAACCGCTGGATACAAACTTCACTTTCACTTTTGCCAAAATTGACATTGAGGGTGACGAAGATGGGGGTAGGTAACGTGAAGACCGATTTACACTACACAACTTTTGTCTAAAACTGTCGCATGCAATTTACAACTTGAGTTGCTATTAGAGGTGTGCAAATCCGATCCGAATCCGATTCGATCGGATTCGTTCGGATTTCGGAACAAAAATATACATTTCGGATCGGATTGATAAAGTTGTTTCGTAGTCGGATCGGATCGAATCGGACTTCGATATTCGAAATAAAATGAATTCATTATCCACGCATTATTGCAAGAATTAATTATCCATGCATTTATCAAAGCATTATCGCGGTTGTCGCTGCATTTTTCGTTTGATACTTCAATTGGACGTCACTTTGTCAGCTTCTTGACATGTATTTCTTGTTTTTATGTTTATTCGGTTAAACATTTCAACTTGAATGACAAATTTATTTTGTTAAAGGATTCTTCGGATTGGATCGGATTGGAATTCTTTATCACAACTCGGATCGGATTCGGATTAGACAATTTCGGATCGGATCGGATTTTAAACATTAGCCAATTGTCGGATTATAAACGTCCAATCCGATCCGATGCACACCTCTAGTTGCTATGTCAATGGAGTTCTTTCAAGCAGACAAATAATATCATAGGGCTCTATCCTTGGACTGTTGTTATTTTTTATATAATCAATGATTTGCCTGGCTGCTTGTCGGAATCCATGCCTAATATGTATGCTGATGATACAAATATATAGAGAATATATAGATACAAATATATAGAGGAGATATAACTTTTATCTTCGAGTGGTGAAAACCATATTTTATGACGAGCGAGCAGCGAGTGAGTAAAATATTGTTTTTAACACGAAAAGATATAAGTCATATCTTCAAGCCATCGTGTAATGTTCTGTTTATTATATAGTTCCAAGCAAAAAATTGTGAAATTTCACGCTCAAAAGCAAATTAGAAAAAGTCACATGATCGATATCTTCACTATAGTAAAGATATGGAAAATATCTCACTGTGTATTTTTCAGTATCTCACTCTCTAGTCTCTACTATATAATAAAAAATAAACCGAAATATAATATTAATAAAGTTGAAGAGACAGTAATGGTGCACGAAGTCATGACTACAACTTTGTTATCCCTAAACCAATCACCAATTTTTTGAAAAATAGTCTGGAATATAATGGAGCAGTAGTATGGAATTCAATACCAATTGAAATTAGGAATTCCACTTCCCTAAAAATTTTCAAAAATAAACTGTAGAAAAATTTGTATATAGCTTTAATTTCTCCTTTTCCTTGTAAATATTGTAAATAATTCAAATGTCATGGTGCCTGGGAAGACCATCTCAATTTGAATGACAGGCCTCCGTGCTTAAATAAAGTTACTATCAGTATCACGACTGTGCCGGACTTGTTGGAACAACCCTGCAACAAGTCTGATAATATCAACAAGCTTGTTACAAGTTGTTCCAAACTTGTTGGCAACTTGGGACAAGCAGTGCGAATACAACTTGTGGACGGCTTGTTGGCAGACTTGCTACAAGATGAAAGATTTTTGCGTGTGTAGTTTACATATTATTAATATAAATATGTACTGTATTCACTTATTCACTTATCAGGAGATGAACTCTCGTGTTACGATTCCCTCACAATATCTGGAGGTTCATCAAAAGACTTCTGTGGGAGTACCACACCGGCGCCATTTGTACCTGGTCTGAATGTCGTAAAACTGAAAATGTTATCAGATGGTAGTGTTGAACAAACCGGTTTTGATCTCAGTTTCACCACCGTTCAGAGTAAGTAATATATTCGGTATTATTATACACTCACGCGCACTTAACCAATCAGTAATCGTTGAGAGGGTCACGTGTCGATCCAATATTTTACGTATTGGACAAGAACCTATTGGACAGTTGCGAATTGTGGCTTTTTTCATGGTTTTTCAACCCTTTTCAGATGTTTTGTCAATTTCAAACATACAACAAGCGATATGGCAGAGTAATGAAAATAATTTGGGACATTAATACAGTTTTTTTCACCAGTTTTGTTTAAAATTATAAAAGCGCGGGAAGAATTGTCCTTGCGAAATTTATTTGTTTGCAACAACCTAAAAGTTAGTAATATTATGGAAATGAGTTTATTTATGCACACATATTTGTAAAAACAGGTTTATTATCTTTCTGTTTAGTTATTTAAGTAAATTAGTTTAGTTATTGACAATTTTTTGTTATAGAATTGTTTTGTTCGATATAATAAAACTCTTGTTGGATTCATCTTTCATTGGACCTAACCAGAAACAGCTACGAAAAATGCAACTTAAGGTCCTTGGCAGTAATTGAACTCGCGGCCCTGCGTGATTCGAATGCAGCGCAATGTGCAACGCTTTAACCAACAGAGTTACAAAGGCCAGTTGTCGAACTCTAACCACAAGTTCATTTGCACAATTATACATATAGGGTACTGCCATGTTTAGCTTATGGGTAAATATCGAGATTTTGTTGGCATCTTACTCGATTCAATAGCAGGGGCGGCGGAACAGGGAGGCTAGGGGGGCTAAAGCCCCCCCCCCCAGAAGTAAAAGTGGGGGGCTTAGCCCCCCTCCCCCCCCCGAAAATTTTGTTTGTTCTGGAAGAATTTTGATAATTAAGGAAAAATTTAGGGTATTTTTTTAAAATTTAGGTATAAGGGGAAAAATTTGCAATATTTTATTTAAAAAATGTGTATGTCCGGAAAAATTTTCTGTTATAGGTCCAGAAAAAGTTTTTTCATGCCTTTTCTTGTATATGTCCGGAAAAATTTTCGTATCCCTAAAATGGTACACTGACCGAAATTTTTTTGGCGACGGGGGGGAGGGGGAGGTCACGGAAAAAAAATTTAGCCCCCCCCCCCACAATGAAATCTGTTCCGCCGCCCCTGTTCAATAGTAGTTGAAGGATATTGTAAATGGAAATTATCTAGTGGAAAATTATATGCATTTATTATACCGATCGCAGGGCAGCAGGTTCGATTCCTGCTAGGGACCTACAGTGGCATTTTTTCGTAGCTGTTCCTTTCTTGATTACGAAGTGGTTAGCGCACTTGCCTTTCACCTCTAAGGTCGCAGGTTCGAATCTCAGTGAGAACTTCTCAATGTGACTCGAACCCAGTCCTCATGTGAAAAGAGTAAAAGTCAACGCTCTGCCGAAAGTCGTGGATTTTCTCCGGGTACTCCGTGTTTCCTCCCACAGGGAAAGTTGACAGGGTGGGTTAGGCACATAGGTCAGGAGGCATATCATAATGAGGTATGGACTAATAGCGGCTGCTTATTGGACTAATAGCGGCTGCACTTCAGCCTTCTGAATGATGGTTTTTAAGGCACATTTCAGCCCTTTTAATTGAAAAAACTAACTAGGAAAATCAATTATACATAATTCAAGATCACTGAACTCAATGTTTGTAACAATAAAAATGTTTTAAAATATTAAAAACATTAAGTTTGGTGATCTTGAATTATGCTTAATTGATTTTCCTAATTAGTTTTTTCAATTAAAAGGGCTGAAATGCGCCTTAAAAACCATCATTCAAAAGGCTGAACTGTGCCTTTAAAGCGCCATTGACCTCGGTCTGCTTCACGCCAGTTCCGGCTGTAATTGTAATGCTCACTTCAAACACTCATTAATAATTCATAAGCTTATTGGCAAATCATGTCAACCATAATATGTCACGTGCAGGTGCTTTAACCTGATAAAACACTCCTAATTAGTATTCTTTATATAAAGAATACTAATAAGGCAGTATCTATTGTAGTTGTGTAGTAAGGCAGTATATCTATTGAATTTGTATAGTCGTATAACCTAATAAAACACTCCTGCTCGTTTATTAAACAGTACTTGATCATACACATATGTAAAATCGTGCAATAGAAATATTAAATATTATTATTATTATTCTGTGTATAGAATATTGCTATCTTTGTTTGTTCTAGCACCTGGTTTGCCCCAAGCAGTGAGTGTGTGTCCGACCAGATCAATGACCCCCAGTCCTACTGGTCGTGTCCACTCGCCTGGATTCGCTGGTAACTATGGCGCCAATCTGAACTGTAAGCTTACATTCAACATGCCTTCAAACAAGGAGTTTGAATATTTTTACAACATTCGCGATATTGAATGTAAGTGCACATTAACAATATTTCAAACATCATTAATAATTCATAAGCTTATTGGCAAATCTTGTCAACCATAATATATGTCACGTGAAGAGGCTTTAAACCTGATAAAACTCATCGTCATCAGTATTCTTTGTATGAAAGTCCATCCTAATTCCTAATTAGTATTCTTTATATAAAGAATACTAATGAGACAGCATCTGTTGTGGCCGTGTTGGCCCGTGTTTGAAGCCATTCAAAACATTTTTTATTCAGATCATATCTAAAATGATCGTGCTGCGCATTCGCATTTTAAATATGATAAAACACTCCTACGCGTGTTTTAAATAGAAAAATGGTTATCGTTTTTCTTCCAAAATTAATTTCAACCAAGATACCCACTGCTGCCCCATAGCATACTTTAAGACTGACCTGAGTTTTACAAAGTATAACTATAACACCGTGTATTCTCTTTGAGAAATAAAATTTTAAAAGTTTCTGCTAGTGCTGGATTTAGCAAACGAGACTGACCACCATCGTTTTCGTGCTTTTTTCGGCTCATTTCCGAAAGGGCTATAATTTTGCTTGCGTGGATTGTTTATTTGTTTTCAATCTTAATCTTTTACACTTTGCCTTAAAGTGCCTATGACACGAAATTTCACACCAAAGGTTTACGGTTGCATTGTTAAGATCACTTAAAATGACTTAATAATTTCTTTTATAGAATTTTGGTAACTTGCTCCCTTTTCAAGATATTCAACTTTGTTTCATATGCAAATATCACCGGTGTGACATCACATCACATAATGAGTTTTCAGAAAATTATAGTTTTCTTCACGAATACGTATCTAAAAAACTTAAAAATTGCCCTTGTATATGTATAAATTTCATAACTGGTAATTAACCCTCTGTAATTGTTTGTAAAAATATTTTATTGAGGTAAAATATTGCGTTTTCAAAATGTCATTATGCGATGTGATGTCACACCAGTGATATTTGCATATGAAACAAAGTTGAATATCTTGCAAAGGAGGTATTTTGTCGCTCAGTTTCATGCTGTTGCCTCGGCTGTTGCAATACTAGATTCCCTTTATTACGTTTTCGTAGCGCTTTGCATTGTGGTTATAGTGGTATCACTGATAAAGATAGCGGCCTCGAATGAAAATATTGAATGTTTTCGCGTATATTTCGCTGTTGGCTATCACGCACCTGACCCTAGCTTTTTTTAAAAGTTCTTGCACGGGTTGGGACAAAAAATAAACCATCTTGAATGTCAGTGATACCACTATAACCACAATGCAAAGCGCTACGAAAACGCAATAAGGGGTATCGTCAATTGTCGATGTCGCTTCTGTTGTTTTGGTCCAATAGACCTTTCCAGTAATTACGTCACAACTACACTGTTTTCAACTTAGGACCACCTTAAATGCAATAGATTTCAAGTTTGTTTCTCACGGACTATGGTCAGAGAAGCAGAACATCCTTCGTCAACACATGCATAAAAAGGAATTTTTGATGTTGACTATTTAATGTGGAAATAAGCTTAAACACGAAAACGAGGCTGAGGGGACATGGCCCTTCTTGGCCCCTTAGCCTCGTTTTCGTGTTTAAGCTTATTTCCACATTTATTGGTCAAAATCCAAAATTCTATTTGATGCATGTGTTGAAGAAGGATGTTCTGCTCCTCTGATCATAGCCCGTGAGAAACAAACTTTATTAAAATCCATTCCATTTAAGGTGGTCCTAAGTTGAAAACAGTGTTAGTCGTGACGTAATTAGCGGAAAGGTCTATTGGTTGTTTATGTTGATGCTGCTTGTATATACTGGTTGCTGTCGTTGTTACTCAAACTAACGGTGAATATTTTAATGTTTTGCTTACAGACATTAACGGGTGCACGAAAGACAAGTTGACGGTTGCGGACAACAGTGCAGTTGGCTCCACGTGTGGTCAATCATCTACCAGCGGCCCGGCGAAGTCACTCAAGGATGGTGATGTCTCATTTCATTTTACAACCGACGGGAGCGGCTCTGGAAGCGGATTTTTGTTAACCTACAAACTCATCGACAAACCAGTCCAGAGTAAGTTGTTGCGAGAGCGATTTTTAACCCTGTATGCCCTACAGTATATGGACAATTTTGAACGTTTTTCGTCGTTATTACGCGAAATTGAACGACAACAAGCGAGGGAAACTGAAGCCAAAATCAAATATTTGTACAATTTTGTTTTTTCATAGCTTGTAGTTGTCCAAATGGAAATTCGTACATCAAACGAACAATCACCAAAAATAACATCATCAAACGTTCCGACGACGACATTAGCTTGGAATTTAAAACGACTCAAGCCAACGGACTCTTTTTGTTCGCCAAAGGCGGCCTTCGTGACTTTATTCTACTGAAACTGCAGAATGGGAATATAGTATTCGAAGTTGATCTGGGAACTGGTAAGGTGATAGAATCCATTTAGGACCGGACTGCAAGTCATTAGATAGCTTAAGATCTACGACGTCGACGTCAGCTAGGACGTCAGGGCTATGAAGAGGACTGGGACTAGGATGTCGTCCTAATGTAGTCCCAGTCCTCTGCTTAGCCCTGACGTCCTAGCTAACGTCGACGTTGTAGATCTTAAGCTATCTATTATTTATGGCGGGGGGGAGGGGGGGGGGCACCGAAGAGAAAAGGGTTGGGTAAACAAAAGTTTGAGTGAGTAAAAGGTTGGGTAAATGAAACTAAACAAAACAACTCAAGGGTTGGGTAATAAGAATTTATTGTCATTTCCAAAGCATGACTTTCTCAAATACTGAAGACTGAAAAGCAAAGCAATGTCAATACTTGTGTGTCAATACAGTTGACAAATCAATCAGTCACTATCTTGATCATTTTCCGATTTGTCAGGAGGAGAATGGTATCGTGAGAAAGAAAGTACTTTTTCCAACAGTGTCGTAACACTGGAATTTGTTTCAGAATTCTTGCTATGGAAATAGTATGGATCTTCTATACAAATTGCAATTTCCATACTATGGATATACTACTTTATAGTATGGAAATAAGTATGGATATACTGTGGATTTAGTCATGCAAGATCGCAAATTCCATAGTCATGAATTTCACTATTTCACTATTTTCTCCAGTGATATTTTAACTTATAAATAAATAGAATACATACAGATGGCTTTAAAGTAAAGTGAATTCATTTTGATCCAATCCCAGTACTATAGACATGGTACCACTGGTACTAGTAGCAGGACCGGAGATACGGGGGGGGGGGGGTGACACCCCCAGAAATTATATTCAGTCGGCAGGACTGCTATTCAGTCTGTAGGACTGCTATTTGGGTTAAATATTTCCGCGCAAGGGGCAAGATATTTGGGTTTTTTGGGTAAATTTCCGAATTTTGGTATGAAAAATTGAGTTAAAGTCACTGGAAAGGACATGTTGGTCTCCGAAAAATTTTTTTCCGTCAGTCGGTTGAAATGACCTTACACCTGCCCTGAAGAATTCCCTGAGGACGGCCCTGACTAGTAGTGAATTAATTTAAACCTTTGACTCTTGTGCAATATATTTTAGGCAATATTACAGTGCGGGTTCCTTCAGGAAGTCTAAATGACAACGCTTGGCACAAGGTTGTGGTGGAAAGGCGATCAAGATCTGTCAAAGTAACTGTGGATGACCTTTCTCAACGTGAGCATGAAATTTATACTAAGGGGTGTGTGGAGGGGGAGGGGAGCAGGGTATATAGAGCAGGAATTGAAAAGGGGGTTCTTGTATAGTATTTCTCGAGGTATTTCTTGTTAGCCTCGATTTTCAACACATTTTTTCGAGGTTTTGTACGCCGGCATGTTGGAAATCGAACCACTTGGAGAGTTTTCATACAGGATTTTGTGCATCTTATTCGATAGAACTTAATTGTCAAAGGGATTCATAGATAAAAATTTCAAATGGAATTTTTATACATTTGTTATACCCAACTAAGAGCAGTTGCAAAAAATGCAACCATCATTTGCATAAAATAGAATAAAGGAGAATAAGTACACAAAAATGGTCAAAATAGTCATATCATTAGTTCGAGTAAAAACGCTCAACTGACCACAAAGCAACGAGTTTTTACTGTTTTACGCGGCGCTGCGTTAAATCATAGCCTATCGAAGGGAAGATGGCTGTGAAACTCATTAGAATAACAATATTTAACAATTATTCGCCGAAGGCGAGGTGATTATCGGGGAACATTCGCCGAGACGAAGTCGAGGTGAATATTACCCAATAATCACCGAGCCTGAGGCGAATAATCATTTTAATATTTTTGTGTTTTTTGGGACTGGATTTATTTTAATTTCGCTTATTTCTTTATCAGTATAACGTCCACAAAACGGCTAGCCGCCATTTTGAAAATTTTGGTTTTGTTATATTCACCTGTAGGTGAATATAACAGCTTAATACGTCATATTTGACCAATCAACTTGTAGGATTTGTTATGTTCACTTGTGCAAAAATGCTAAATTCATTAGCTATGTTAGTCAACGTTTATTCATAAATATGGTCTTTCACCGTCACGTGTGCATTGCATTTTTGCCAAATTCACCCAACCAATAGCAATTTCCAATTTACCCTATTGTCCAAGTCACGGATAGGTAACTTTCCTAAAACATTGCTATTGGTTAGTTGGGCAAAAATACAATACACACGTGACGGTGAAAGACCAGATTTATGAATAAACGTTGATTAGCGTAGATAACGAGTTACACAGGGTGTCCCAAAAAAACCCGAAAACTATTGAAATCACCAATAACAATTTAATTGTTAGAATTTGAATGCCTTAGCACTCTGTTGGTTCCCACGAGTGCATAAATGATTGACATAAGTAAATGTTATGCATAAAGAAACTGTTTAAGACTGCTGTTTTAAATTCCCAAGAGCAGAAAATCGCGCACTTTACAAGGAGATGTTTTTAACTAAATTTAATATATGCACCTTGTCAATATTTTACATGCATGTACGCATCATTACGTTCAGCTGTTTGGAAGGGCATTCAAATTTTAACAATAGTGATTTCAATAGTTTTCGGGTTTTTTGGGACACCCTGTATTGTTACTCTAATGATCTCACAGCCATGTTCCCTTCGATGGGCTGTGCCTATATGGTTAAATTAATAAGCACATAATCGTATGCCATTCAAATTAGAATAATAAGGTAAATTTCTAAAGGTCCCCTTGTTTTTAAGACACCATTTACCATATATACATAAAGTTGTGGTTAGAACTCGACAACTGTCTCCCTGTACTCAGCTGGTTAGAGCGCTGCACCGGAATCGCAGGGCCGTAGGTCGCTCTGTCTATTTTGTTCTGCCTAACGCATTTACTTGTGAAGGAGAACTCAATGGGTTAAACTCTTTTATTTCAGAGATTGCTACAACCAAAGGCACCTTCACCTCACTTGATATCAAACCCCAGAACCTGCTGGGCGCTGCAATGTACTCTCTGGGCGGTCCATCAGGAATTCGATACGACGTCAACTTCCAAGGATGTATTCGAAACTTTGTGATTGATCAAATGAAACCTGTCGAGTCCTATCTACAAAACGACGCCGACTATACGATGTACGGCTCCACAACCATGGGCACTTGTTAGACTGTTCTGAAGTTTGAACAGTTGTTTATGTCGATTCTATTTGTATGTTAGTTTTTTTTATAGCAGTATATAGAATTAAGGCTAATAAGTGGACTCAAATACCTATGTTTTAAATGCATGATAATTTTGTTATAGGATTAATGCTAGAAAGTTAGTCCATATAGTTTTATAAATCTATAGTAGACTATACTGTTCCTCGTTCGCTTTTCGAGTTTGTCAATCTGACATTTTCCAGAAAAGCTCCAAAATTCGATTGTAATACTGCCCATTTTGGAAAATGGATACCAATATTCTACGTGTATACTGGTTTCGTTGTGTGGTTTAGACTAATAGGTTAGCACTAATGCTTGATTTTTTGTACGTTAATTTGTGATTAGAGTCATTAGATTTAAGTCCAATCAGATAGTAGTATTTATGGGCCGTGTAGTTTCGTACATTTATACTTGTAGCCACTATTGATTTTATCGTAATGCATAATTTTAATTCAGAAAGTTTGTTTTATCTTGTATATTCGTTATATTGCTCAGTTAGTCAAATATATTTCGTAAAATGTTTGTGTACTGTATGAATGGTTTCTCTAGTTTGAGCAAATGATAGCTGTTCACCAGTCCACACCGGGGGGGGGGCTAAAAGGACTAAAAGTGCCCTTTTTTGTGATGAAAAGTGCCCTTTTTTGTGATGAAATGTGCCCTTTTTGTACAAGCTAATGTCGCTGTAAATGCGCGCATCTGGCAGCCAGTCTGCCATGTTCTTAGCAAGTGCCCTAAAGAGAGGCATTCCCCCCCTGGAACATTAAATTTCAATATGTTTTCAAAGGGGTAACATCTTCTCTTTAGGGCAATTATTAAGAATACGACGGACTGGAAAAATCCCTTACGCTGAAATTAATAAGAAGTGAGACATCTGTATGGTATTTACTCTGTGCTAATATCCCGCCTCTGTGGTACGAAGTTATGTAAACATACATGGATGGTCATGGCGCATTCGTCTTCGAAATTTTTTGTTGTAATAATTTAAACAAACTGCACCTGGTATTACGACTTTAATAGAATCTTTTTAGATCTATTAATGTCTATTTTTATTTGTATTTTTTGATATGTCGCTTAATACTATATTATAGGTCAAAATACTAGGTAAAAAATGTTCATCTCGGGTAGGTGGGATAATGCCTTCATAATTCATATGGAAAATTTTGTCCCTCTTGACTCAGATTCCGCCTAACACAAGATGAGATCTCGCCTACACGCGTAAAAACGCACAAGTTGTTACAGGTCTGCAAACAAG